TGCAACTGCACTTTTCTTGTTGTTCTAAGTTTGTGTCTTTATTGCACTTATTGTAGGTTTATTGGGATAAAAGGGTCAGCTAGGTGAAATTAATCATTTATTTTGACAATCTACTAATCTTTTAATGCCTTCATTGTTTAGACTGAAAAAGAAAACTAGCTGTGATACCACATTCCAAAACCACTGTTGTCTTCCAGGAAGTGTTTGGTAGTGATAGTACACGGCCCTTGTTTGAGAGCCGTCCACTGCCTGTATAAACCTGGCGAGGACGACCGGCTCTTCCACCCCACTAGACTAATACAAAGAGACTGACGCGTATTCCACCGCGGAGAAATGGCGATGCTGGGAATGACCCAGCTCATCAGCTATTGTCTGAGCAGAGTGGATGCGACTGCTGGGATTGGGATGGTCCGGGCTCGTCTCAGGCACCTGTCACTGCGGAACACGTCCATGTGTGCCCACTCAGATTACAGGCACAGTATGAGGAGGCAGGAGGGGAGAGATGGGAGGGGGGGAGCAAGAGAGAGAGTTGTGCCCTTCACATGATCACATTTAGACCAGTTAATGCATGAATACATTCATCACCACATTTATTTCCGACAAATTCAATTTATCTGCTGGATTTATCCCATTTTCTTCGAGGCAGTTTTCTGCTGCGTCTGTGGCTGGAGCTGTGTGGACTGGAATGAGATTGATTAGCTCACTGCCAGACAATAGTGCTTTTTCAGAAACTGCTGGGATGTCATTAAATGATGTGTCATCATCTTCTCAACAAGTTTAAAGAATGGAACAAAAAAACGTGTTCTTGAAAGTGACGGAACTCCCATTCTTTAAACATAGGAAACTTCCGCATTTTAGATTACACACATGTTTAATTTCTTATTATCTCAATCTTCTTAACAAAGCTAATTTTACTTAATATGCTAAAGGATAAAATACTTAATTGTACAACTTTTGGATAGTTTATCTCCAGGCATAAGTGTGCCAGTGTGTTGCCACAGACACCACAACTCCATTGTGTGAACACATTTATTAAGGACTTGAATTAACGAATATTCATTTATGCGCAAAACTCTGAAGAGCATAAAATAAAAAATACACCAGTGCAAGAACCTTAAAACTGTTATTTTATTAATAAATGTTTAGCAACACCTGTTCTGAGGATTTGGAGGTGGCAGCAGATCAAATGCAACTCTTCATGAACTACTTTGTGTGTTTTGCCAGTGGGCGACTTTCAATAAGAGGCTGTAGCAGTGGGAAATGTTTGGTTTGCATTAAGTTAAAGCAGCTCTGATGCAGTGTAAGGAGAGTGAACAGGATACAGTGATGATGACATCAGTGAGACGAACAGTTACACTTGATTTCTTTGTTAGTGTGAAGGAAACGTGAGTCTCCTGCCATTGAATACTTAATAGGATCACAAACAGTGTTCTATTTCATAATTTGACTCCCTCTCATGAGGATTATAACTTTCAGGACAGTATTTCAGTATTCAAATTCAAAGGTGTTATTGTTATATGCACAAAGCTACAGTGTAGAAATGGCAATGAAATTCTTCTGACCTGAGCTCCTCCAACAATGCAACATATAGAATAAAATACAAAAATTAGTGCATAAATCTGTATACATGTCAATAGAATATGGGATATGTACAAGAACAGAATATGAAATAAAATAATGTAAATTAAGACTAAATTAAATACATTACTCACATCACTGTTGCCTTTTGAACCAGTGAAAATCATTTCATTATACCCTACTTTTCTCTTTTCTTACAGCCTGTGTATTATACAGAGGAGCCAGGAAGGAGGAACTACGATACGTACAGGATGTACATGCAGCATCCACACGGCTTCGAAGACCCGTACTTAGAGGAGGTGATCACCTACCCGCCCACAGCGGACTACAGCTCCCAGCCTCACGGGCTCAAATCCAACACCAACTATGTGGACTTTTACGCCAGCACACGGAGGCCTTCCTACAGGGCGGAGCAGTACCCGGGCTCTCCTGACTCCTGGGTATAGGTCCGGAGACAAGAAACAAACAAACTTTTTCATGAACTTGGCTATAAGTGTGTTTTTAATAAAGTGAATGCGTGCCTGCGGAGGGTGAGTTCAACCGAGCGATGGCTGATGGAAAGATGGAATGTGTGCCAAAGAAGGAAATCATGGAATGTTTTTTTAAATTATTTTTTATTTAGAAGAAGGAAGATGAAATCTGTTGAGGGGCGATACTCTACACCACAGCGAGGAAGACGTGCGTCCTGCTCTGTCTAGATGTTAGTTTTATTTTCTTTATGAAAATCTTAGCTGTGAGAGCATGGAGAAAGGTGTGTCATGTGAGCGAGGGTATGCGGTAAGAGTCAAGATGGGGAATGTGTATGTGCTGAAGCCAAAATGGATCATGAACTCATATCTGTTAACGAAACAAAAAAAACAAATACAGTGAAGTTATGATTTTAGACTGTACAGAGGGATCAAATTGTATCTGTACTTAATGTTGAAGCTGTGTAATGCCATGGAGTCTTGTACATTTCTTTCATTTTATTGTAAATACAGAAAAAAACATGTTACCTGGTTTACATTCATCAGCACTGGTTTAAAAAAAAGAATCTTGTGCCATGTTAAATCTCTATAGATATATAAATATATGAAAAAAAATGTGTGGACAAAGATCTTCCATAACACAACCACGCTAAAATAATAAAAAAGGTCAGTTTTGTTTTTTACACGTTGTGTCATTGCATCTTTTCAATATGGTGAAAACATATCTTTCACATTAAGATATGCCAAAAAAAAAATGAAATGAGTGTTTCTTCAGTTCCGGTCCAGGGGGTTGTTAGATTGCATTGTTTGACACACACATTAGCCTAACTCAGTGTTTCATAAATCTGTGTCTAATATGTATATGTGCAGATTTGTATAAAAGCTTTCCTTTCAACACATACATTATTCTACTAAAAGTGCATGTTCACATTCACAAGTATCAAGGAAGGCAAATCAGTAATGCATCTATCATCAATTTTGTAAAATGACATAATCCTCTTTACAAAGTTGTGATCATGCTTACAATCACTACATGTTTTTTATAAAAGTAAAAAAGGACAATCACCCACACCCCTATATGTAGCAATGCTGAATAAGCAGCAGCAGTCTTATTATAGGACTGCATTTACATAGCATTTGTTTGTCTTTGCAATGACTGAAAGCACTTTAACAATACAAGTTAGTATTAACCCATTCAAACACTGGTTGCTATGCTATTCTGAGCAGTTTTGTGTTCAATATCTTCCCAAAGGTTATTTCCACATGATGACTACAGTAGCTACCTTCCAATTGCTGGATGACCTCTCCAGCCACAGCCACCCCTGTATTAGGAGAGACATAATACACGTTTAAGAAACTGAAAATAAAATATAACTACACAGATGAAAAATAACAATGTACAGTTGCAGCTCCCCCCTCTGGAGATTTCTGTCATTGAGGAAAGGTATGAGTTAATATACTAATACTACACTTTGTCAGAACATAACAAAATGTTCAAGAGAACAAGATGTACAGCTCCTCAGGCTCCACAGGCGGTCTGTGATTGGCTTCAGCTGCATGCTTAACCAGCCAATGATTTTGCAGAGGAGAGAGCCAGGGGAGCAACACAGCAGAACTAGTTGTACTTTCTGAACATTAACACACCCCTCTATGGGAGGAAATAATAGAATGCAAGAAATGAAATAGACATGTAATATATTTTCTTTGTTACGAGACATTTTCCTCGTCTATTTCAGGATTCATCTGAACATATTAAATGTGCAAAATATAAAGTTATTTTTTCTATTCAACCTTGCCCAAAGATTGTTGTCTGTGGATCAAACACATAAGTTACACCAAACTGAAATGATGAAGGTCTTGTAACTAGCCTTAAGGTTCTTTGTCCAGACAGGGCATCAAGATCAGGTAATAAAGCTGCACAGGCTTCAGGATTTATACCTTAGTCCTGCTGTATATCCCCAAATAAATGTGTTTGTGAAAGTAGAACAAACCACTCGACAAACACAGTAAGACTGGAGCTTTCAGGGACATTGAAGCTCCCACAATGTAATACTGCCAAAAGTTGTATAGCACATGTACCGCCTCAGACACTAAGACACAAATGCTATCCACACATGATGCAGCAGAGAGTCAGCCAAACCTGAGCTTGTTGACAAAGAAATTGCTGTATCTGACCCCAGCAGGGGTGTGGGTTAAGCCTTACTTATTTCAATGAGCAGGTTGTAATCTTCTGCCAGTAATGGGTCATGTAGGAGAATTAAGAAACACAAACAATGTGTTATTTGCATGTGTAGAAGCAGACTTTGAGTCAAATGTGATTCACAAATAGTACGTACACACAGGTGTAACATGTTGATGACTGACATCTTCCTGCCTCCTGTTAGACTTGTTGGAGTTCAATATTAACTTGAGTGACACTTCTAATTAATGATGAGGTACTTGATGATTAAATGTATAGACTAGCCCTAATTGTTAGGCAGAATAACTGGATACATCTGTAAATACCTATAGACTACCATAAAGGATACTCATATTATTGTGTAGTTCCTTAAAGAAGAGTTGTGTAGTTCCTTAAAGAAAAACTGTGAATTTCCTTTAAGAGGCACAAAGTTTGTTTTTTTAGCATATATGTTAATGAAAAATGCTTTTTATCAAATGTGAATTTATTTAAGTCCCCTGTCTTTGTCAGGCAGTCTGTTGTTGCTACCACATTCAACGGTTTTTACAAAGATTTTCAAAATAAAACAATGGAGAGAAAAAAACAAAGTAGGAAAACTTGAACATATGCGCAAAAACATATGCACAATTACTTGAAAGTAAATGATCAGTATGACGGTATTCAGTTTCGATTCATTGGTCAAAGCTGAACATCAGTTAAAAAAAAATCAAATAGGCGTCTCTCTGGCAGGTGCTTCCTGTCTACGTCATCTTTGTTTGAGCATAAAAACAACCAAGTGGGCGTTCAGCGAGGTGTGTTCTTTGCTTTTTCTACAGAAAGTTTCGAAAATGGTGCAGCAACTATCCAAATCCGGGACGAGAGATTCTCCTTTGCTGAAGGCTGGACACCCTCCTGCAGGTAAACTGTTGTCCGCATGGACTTCGCAATGCGCGGAGGATTTTTTTTACTACATTCAGCAAAAGCGTTGTTGTTTTCGCTGCTCTACGCAGATAGAGCCGTGCAGACGCTGAGAAAAATATTCGAGTTGCTTTTTCTTTTACATCCCGTTGTGATACGTGGGTTGGTGAATGTATTCTTATCGTGGGAAACAAATTGATTCGTTGAATTCTGTGATAATTGCTCATTGCATCCAACGTGCGTCGTTTGTTGTTGCCCTCATGCACATTCTTTGGACGCAGGCCCTGCTGAAAGTAACACCGTGTTCTCACCATAGACTGGTTCTCACTCACTGAACTCGTGAGCACAATAACATGCATTTAAAACCAAGCTCTTCAGACTGTTATAAAACGCAATTTGACGATGGGGAGAAATTATAATCTTTGGGATTTTTTTCTTTTTTGTTGCAATCGGTCCCTTTGTTGCATGTGTAACGCTATCCAAAATGTTTTTGTTCTTTTTCCGTTTGAGTGAGCATTGCACGATAAATGGGGATGTGCTCACAGGTCTAGTCTAGGTATTTTCACTTTGAAATGTACAGATTTGCATTGCTCTTCTGACTTTTTTTGGACGTGAAATCTCAAGATGTTGTTGTTTGACACACACCCCCTCCCTCCCTCCCCCTCCACACATCACGGCCCATGGATTAGTGGGGCGTGACTTCTGAGTAGTTGACCAAGGAGGGGTTTTGTTTTTATGGCAATTTTAACGATTTCTAGAAGCCTTGGGAAATTAATAGACATAAAACATATAATTTTGAACATATATAAAATGTCTGCTGCTCAAATTGGACAACAATTAATCGCATGCATGACCCCCTACAATCTGTTTAGTGTTTTTAAAGCAACTTAAAACGTTCACATCAAATCTTTGTTGGTACAGATTGTTTTGTAAAGGGAATGCCAGGGGCAGTTTTTTTTTCTTTTTATTGGATTACCTATTAAACAGTTTCCTCCTTTCGGTCAATAGTTAAGGCTGGCGGTAAAAGGGTAGCCAAGAAAGGCATTGAAGACAGTGCCTCCCATGGGACTCCAGAGAAGGAGAGCAAGCGGTCTGATAAACCAAGGTAGGTTGAGAGTTTGTATGATGACTTAAAAGTGTAAACTCCAAGGACACAGCAATGGATGTTTACGATTTAAACATAATTGAATTTCCTTTTTTTTTTAAAGTTAATTTGAACTTTGATCTTTCCGCAGGACCCTTGCAACCTCCAACAGAATGCAACAAGTTAGTATTCTTCTGTCGGGAACTCTTGAAAAGGTAAACAAACTCCCTTTAGTAAAAAGCACATTCGTACTGTGCATGTCGAGTTCATTCCTGCTGGGCAAACTGGAATGGACACAGTGCCTCAGGCCACAGAGACATGTGTGTATAAACTCCTGCCTGATGTTTTTTTGCAGCTGAGCCATGACTTTCCAGAGACACCAGTGAGTGTGAGGCACGGAAAGGTGCGCCCCGCAATGGAGAAGCCCCACTCCCTCCGGTCCTTTTGCATCCAGCAGCCGAGGAAGTTTTGAACAACATTTTGTTTAAGACTGGCCCCAGAGGGAACTGTGTCCAGTCAACTGTGAAAGACAAACATGAAGGGTTAGACAATTGAGGGGGCTGACAGGTTATCTGTAAAGTGTCAGTATTAATGGGGTGCAAGATTTCGTCAAGCTCTGAGTTTACTTTCTAGGCTGTGAGAGAATGTGTATAAACCAGCATTTAATGTGCCTTTTGATAGTGTTAAGAGAAATGCTTTTGTATTTCCTTGTTGATGGTGTTGGGGGTATGTTTAATGTGAGGGTGGTTTTGAGGGTTTTTGAAACTTTTTTTTTTTCCCCAGTTAAATCTTAACTTTGTATTGCTTGGCACTTATTAGATTTGAATTAAAAAAAAAATAGAAATCGCATGGCATTCCTATTTTGCAGTTCTCCTTTTTCCTCAATGTGTATTTGTAGTAAGTAGTAATGACCACTAGGTGGCAGCAAATGGCTGTTTATAACGTGAGGACCTTTGTGTACTTTACCAAACTGTAAGTTGCATTCATTAAACAATTACAACTTTCTCTGGTTTTCAAGTGTTTATTTACTCTTAAAGATTGCCCTATGCATTTCAACATCTAGTGTAACAAGATACTGCAATCATGGGCGTCACTTTGTTAGAAGTGGTGGCGACAATTACTTTCAGATACAAAAAAAACTACTGAAATAAGCACCTTCCGCAAACAATACATACACAATCCCATACATACAGTACATAAGCTCACAATAAAAAATGCTGACAGCTAGTGCTGTAAGTATGCCACACTGCTGCATATTTGTGAGCAACAATTGCTTTACTATTCTCTATTCAATTATTACTAATAAACATGTCGCATATCCAAACTGCACCACTTGGGTTTCCAGAAATACATCAAAGTGTCAAGAGTCCTCCAGATTGTACATGTTCTCTTGTCCAAATAAACTGTTCTCAAAGTTCACAATTCTTTGTGCAAGCTATTTTCAGAACATGTGGTGGGGACATGTCCCGAGTAGAAATTAAGCCTATGTCTGCAATTAACAAATGTTTTATCTTGGAGAAAGAGATCTTCTCGTATGACTCTTTCAATATGTTAAGTGACTCACAGTTAATGTTGTGAATGGGAAACTATTTAGGAAATTCCCATAAGGGCTAGCTACGTCTTGTCCCTCAACAAGAACTGCAGAACCTGCTCAGCCCTGCTTGAGGGCAAATGACTCCAACACAAATCCTCGAGAGGGCAGCAGTAACTTAAACTAAAGTTATTTCTTTTAAATAGTAAACCAAATCCATATTGTATTTCTTTAACACTCATATCAAAACAAGAGACAACAGTTGGTCTCCATATCATTAAACAAGTGATTCCTGGGTTTTTAATCACTTTCCTGGATAATTTATGAATGCAGGCCTGGGTGCAGTGCAAATTAGGTGGAAGAAGGAAGAGATGGATGGATTTGAACTGGATTATACATTCATCAGCCTGCTTACATTTCAGGTCTCACTGTTTTATATCTGCCATGTTTGTGTTGAAGTAAACCCTGATGGACAACAAGAGAAGCTGAAAGACGCTCACACAACACACTAAACGACAAAGCACTGTAATGATTCTTTTTTTTAGGTTGTCAACCACAGTACTTTCAAAGACATGGGAAGGATGATCAATTGTTTTCATAATGTTTTTTTGTTAAATGTAATCATGTCATACACAGGATAATAGTTCATGCATAATACATAAAGTCTCAATATAAGTAATTGTTGCATTCAGCTAAGTGCTAAAAAATGAATATAAAGTAAAACAAATAAAAAGGTAGATATAAATGATACAAAAAATGTATACAGCACATTTGTTCCAGTAACCTCAACATCTGTTGGCCTTGTTAGCTCTATTCAAATTGTCAGTAATATATGACAATGTGACAGAGATTCAGCATTCACAATACCAAGAGCCTGAATGGAATTCCGCCATCTAAAGATATTCTGTTAAAAAATAAAGCCATACTGCATTTTCCTTTCACAGCTGAAAAGCACATATTACAATTCTAATTCTAAGGGAGCTACTTGACCGTTGGGCACTGAGTAATGCTATATTTATTCACACCCTGACAATACAGAATGTGGCTTTGTGTCTCAGCTATCCCTTTCAATTAAAAAGAATCCCTGCTAGATTGTAAATACAATTACAAAAACTCCTCCCCTTGTCCCCATACTGGTTGAATTTCAACATGTCAGTGTGTGCTTTTCTGTTGTATGATGTGTGTCTCATGTCACCACATTAATACATGTGCCCATTTTGTTTGCATTTGAAATCACACAAACTGTGTCAGCTTGTTTGTTCGCCAACAAAGTACTCAAAGATAGCCTTGTGGACACAATGGGCCGACCTTAAATTCTCTGTGATGGTCATGCTGTTCACACATGCCTTTCATGCCATCTGTGTGTGAAGTTCAGAGACGTCTGGAGCTCTGTTTGAGGAGAGGAGCAGTTGGTGGTCTTCTGACTTGCAGACTTGGTGCATTTCCCTGCCAGTGTCTGCCCATTTCCCCGCCATCTGAAGAGCCTCACTGACCCTGTGACGCCCACCACACTGCTGAGAAAACACTGCTCGCCGACTGTATAACAGTGCCTCACACAGAGGAGTGGGATGACTGAGAAGATGTGGTTTGCGGCCCCAAAAAAATGCACTCCTATCACCAATTTACAGTTTTAGGCATGGTAGGTTTACTCCTTTTAATGCAGTTCACACACCTAAATTGGGAAAAACACATTAGATAATGTTATGACATTAAATATCTGTTGAACATGGCTTCGCACATGCAACAAGCTGCATACAAATCTGTCACCTCATGAGGTCACCATACACTAAGGCATGCTGGGAGCTTAGCTTGACAGACCAGGTAGGGAACAGTCTTTGCAATGTATTGTATAACAGTAAGGAATTGTTTGCACTTTCAAGCAAACATGAATGATGAAAGATTTAGTGCCACTATTATATACCTGCATGTGAAAACATTAAACCCTCTCAGATAACAGTTACGTGAAGATACATAATGGTGTGTGTATTGTATGACACCATGCAGCAGAGATTCAGCAGAGCACTCAAAGAAGTCCTGCTTCTAACAACACACCTACATTTATTAGGCCAATTATAAATAAAAGCTTTAACTCATGTTTACACCCGTGTTCTTCTAATGTGTATCAACAAGGAGGAAAATACATGATAAGATTGCTGTTAGATGGACTGCTACTCATTTTACATTTGCCTATCAATATACTTTTTATTGTAATGCTAACCTTAATAACAGTGCTTAGACTGTTTGCTTAGGAACACAATGTAAATACTCCATGTCAAGTTTCACATTCGATTGTGTATTTGGGCTGTGAATAATATGATAAATCTTTCATGCAAAGCAGCATTTTTATGTTGTAGCCAGTACAGGTGGTGCCAAGTTTATATACCCTTAATAGTTTGATGTAGTAATGCATAATGTTTTATGAGTTTGTAAAATGTTAATCTGCTGAGTAGCAAATAATGTCATGCCAAGGACTAACATATTAACAATACCTGTGTAAATTAATATTTTTCTTACCTCTGAATATAGTTTCCCACTTCAATGTTCATTTTGCATATCAAATGTGAGTACTAAAACTTCCTAGGTAGCCATCCTCCATGGAGACTTGATTTAAGGACTGAAAGGGAAGAAAATATGACCAAGTAAGGAGCCTGGACTAGTACCTCAGAGGGTCCACTTCTCCTCCAGGGCACTGCAGAGGGGCCCTTGAGCAAGGGACCATAACAAACACTAGTGCCTGGGTGCTGTAAAGTAGCTGCCCGCTGCTCCTCTAACTAGATTTGGTTAAATTATTAATTTACTGTGTGTATTGTGCATGTGTGTGTGACAATGAAATATGATCTGATTCCTCCGTTTCCATTGATATGATGTTGACAGAAGACAGCTGTGTGTATGTTGCCTATAAATGAATAGCTGTGATACTTAGGTGTTTTATAATTGGCAGTAATTCTGTGCTCAGTATATCTAAAATGTAGCAACATAAATCAATATATAGAGAATTCAGTGCAGAAATGTATTCCTGAACAGTGGCAAGAGCTTTGAAACATCATTAAGACATTTCATTTGGGAATTAAATGCCCATGGTTTATTTGTGATATAATAGCCTTATCAGCAACAAAGCCCAATTACAGACTGTTTCTGAGATTTTAACTGCATCTCACGGTAATTGTCAGTTTTATAAGGATCACACAGGTATTTTATTAGCCTGTAAATTCCAAGGAAGGGTTCTCCTTGTAAACAGTTTTATTTGGACTTTATTTAACTTAGTTGTGAAAATACCTGAAATAATTGTTTTTTAATGCACTAAAGAAATCACCATAGAGCATCTAACTGAATAAATAAAACATGGACAATTCAGGTAATTTTGAACGATTTGGAGACTTTTTAAAGGGGGATTTCGTTACTTTTACTGGCCAACATCATTACATTGCAAGCTTGTAGCCTGCAGTTGTACAGTAAATAATCTTGGATATCTAGCATCCTGTCTTGTCCATGAGGCATGCATGTAGAATGGGAAGGAGGAAGGGGGAGGAGGAGGAGGAGGAAGGAGGGGGAGTTTGTCCTGGTTCCCTGCTCTCTGTTGATGTTCCTGCCTCCCTCTCAGATGACCTCATGCGGGGAGGAGGAGCCCGGCGGCCCGTAGCATACCTTGGTGGATCAAGTGGGGACTGAGTTTGTTTGGAGATATACGCAGAAAGACTGGGAAAACTTTGGTTATACTTTCATATCCATGACAATTATCAGGTAAGACAATACTCTCAAGTTAACTGTGTCGACGGAGTTACCCTGGAAGTGTCGTTTCAGAAAAGTAGAGATAAGTTTTCCATTCAGGAGTTTTAGTGGCAGTGAGTTGGGGGGAATGTCGGGACATGCCCATTGACCTGCCGTCAAAACCACCGGGAGTGACAGCACTGTGTTTTACTTTCAATGTATTCGCCGTGCTCAATTTACTTTTTGTGTGCCTTACGCCACTTGACGTTAAAGGTAACCGTTACCCACGCTTCCTAGCTCAACACGCTGAGTTGCTACGTTATCTTTCATCACACACTTACCTTTTGCGTTTGGCTGGTATGAATTGGAACTAACGGGGCACTGATAACTGATCAAACAAGATGGTGTTTCACTTTCATGTGTATCACTTTTACCTGGATATTGTCCTTATTTTTAACACCTCATGTGTTTAGAACGAGCTATGTTGAGCTCAAACGATGAGTCGAGTAACTGTTGGCAGCATGACTGACAGACAGATGATTATATACATTTTAAGTTAAAGTACTTATTATATTATTATAAGTTTACTGTACACTAGGGCTGCATTACCTGTCTATTGATTTTGTTTGATTGTTTAAACTGTAAAATGCCTGTCATCATTTCATAGAGTCAATTGTATGTCTGAAAAGCAGTCAACAATTCCAAAGATATTCAATAAAAAAATAATAGCCAGGAACATTTAATAACTGATGGATTATTTTTGTCAGTAATATTTAGCAAAATACCAATATCTGTGGTTCCAGCCCCTCATGTCTGGATTTTGCAAAGTTTTATGATTTTAATGTAATATCTATAGCCTAATGGGTTTTACACTATTGGACGAATAAAACATAAAACTAATCATTTGAGCTCTGATAGACTTTGACTAGGCTATTTAGAAATACATGAACAAACAGTTGGTTATTAAAGAGTAACTTCAAAGTACATTCATACTTTACTTACTTCATTTATTACAATAATTTGTAATGTGCAGAATAGCCTTAATGGCTTGTTACTAGACATCCAATAACTTTTGAATAAGGGTAATACTTATTGTGGAGCAACATCCTGCTCAGTAGGATGCAGATGTTTTATAAAAAGGTTCATTACTTTTCTTATAACTATGTGGTCTTGTTTGATGCTAATTTTAGTCTGTATTTTCTGATTGGATGAAGCGGTTTCCAAACCAGAACCCAGCCCAGATATAGTGGTAGGGTTAAGACTACAGGACTGTAATCTCGTCCGCCCACATAGATTGAGTCATTGAAGTTTGACCACTTGCTGTGTATGACTTTTTCTGTTTTCAGCAATCTTTTCAATAGAGGAATCCCCTTGTAGCTTAGCCAGGTGTTTAAAAATCAAAGCTCTGTTTTCCCCTTCTGGAAAACTGCTTGTAAATGTCAAGAAGCTGCTTTGATCTCTGAGAACACATGAAGTCATCGATTGGATGTTCTCTCTGAACAAGTGATATAAAGACTAATAACGTCTTGGATTCTATCTGACATAACCATAGCTATTTCCTGTGTTGAGTGACTTGTCTCAATCTAGCTTCGAGGGCAGTTCCACTGTTCATACAGCATTTACTATCTATTCCAAACTCAACAGGTGAAGCAGGCTTTGCTTCTGACAATCATGCTGACTGTAACATAGAGATAGTCAGTATTAACTTTCAAACATAATTTCAGGCAATGTTACGCTGATTATAGAACCATTACAGTTGATTTGCATGCCTCAATGCCAAGGCTAGACAGCTACTCCAATTGTCTATCAACTGCAGGGTTGGGAGATGTTTGTACTACAGAGCACTTTTATTGAAAGTGCCACAAGAGTCGGCCTCCCGGACTCGACAGGGCCTAGTTCCCATGGTCCCCGGCCAGTTGGCCAGTAACAGATGCTGGCATGAGAGTCGCATTGTTATGGCTGAGGAGGGAAAGTTATTGGAGCCAGTGACCTGACAGACAGCACATCTTTGATGAGAATGATGATTTTCTACTTTTGTACTTCTAATAATTGTCGAAGCACTAGGATCAAGAATTGATTTGGGTTCAGGACCCCCTACTGTCAGCATTCTGTTTAACCAAGATTATTTTGGGATGTCAGAATACTTGATAACACAAACCAAACCTGACCTCAAGTGTAAGCGACAGCATGTGTCCTATTATGCTCTTAGGATGCTCTAAAATGACATCTGTGGAATTGTACTGTGTGATTAAAACTGCATATTTTATTGTGACCAACCAGAGGCACACCAGCGCAATACTCATGCAATCAGCATCTCGATATGCCACACCTGTGGGATTGATGAATTATCTCGGGCAAAGGAGTAGTTCTCACAAACACAGATTCAAACCAATTTGTGACCAATATTTGAGAGAAACAGGCTTTTTGTGTGTAGAAAAAAAGTCTTAGATCTTTGATTTCAACTCATGAGAAATGGGAACGAAAACAAAAGTGTTGCGTTTATATTTTTGCTCAGTATGTTGCTGTTCAAATTACCTCCTGTTTGGTTGGTTTGTTTGCGCTGGTATGAAAGCTGTCATTCAAAACGTCTGTAGCTATTGGGCTTTATGAGAGTGGATATGGTATTCTAGCTTGCATTACGAAAAAGTTCAACAAGAAAAAACAGCTTGAAATGAACCAACCTCCTATGCTATCTACATGTAAGTGATATTCATATTGCGTACAATAAGCGACCATTATTATCATAAGAAGACATTTTCACATGCCAATCATTTAGATGGCTGTAAGGCATGTTGTGAAATATTAATTTAATAGCTGAAGATGCAGAAAGCAGTTACTTCCTGAGAGCCTGGAACTGGAACAAAGCGCAGGTTGTTATGCTTCTTTGGGCAGTGCAACACGATCTCCTGCAATGTGGTAGCTGAAGTGATCATAAAAACCTGGCTTCCTCGCAAAAATATGGTTAAACTCCATTTTCTATTTACTCTTTATTGTTGTTCTAAAACAAGACTCATGCCAAGTTCTGCAATGCCTAGATATTCACGGGCAAATAAATCATGTTGCACTCTCAGTGGTAGCATGGAGGATCACACACAGGCCTACAGCCCAAGTGGTATTGTGTAATTGAATTAACTTAGGTGTCCTAAAGGCTTATGACAAGTTCTGTATCAAAGTGGCTTGTATTATCATTGAATTTCTCTTTTTTCAAAGCATTACATAATGACAGCCTTGCATACTGCCTTTGTGTTTCAGTGATGTGTTGGAAAGTGTCTTAGTATGACACAATCTGGATTACATACCATCTCTTAATTTCTCATTGTGTTATACCGTATAATCTAGGTCTGCAAGGTGTACACGTGCTTATTTGCACTCATGCTTGAATGGGTGTATCTAGAGCACGTGTGTTTGGAAGGGTTTCTTAGTAACAGCTGTAAATGATTTACGTTTTTGTCAAGCCTATTAGAAAGCCTCAGAGAGGGAGGGAAGAAGGGAGAGAGATGCTGAGAGCCTCAGACATACCAAAGTGTGAAATCAGCATACTCACCTGCATAAAGTCATTGGGAGAAAGATGGATGGGCTCATATTTCACAAGTAGTTTTACAGTAGTATAGTGTTAGAAGTTGTATTTATAAGTCACCGTAATGACTTAAAAAAATGAACCACTAATACTGGTTACCGATGTGCGAGAAAAATCTCTCCTTGTCAACTCTATTCTTCTTTTTCATTTCTTGTTTTACTTTACAACATCACAGTGGGACAGCAAGTGAGTTTAGGGCTGACATTGAAAGGCAAAAGTTTGCAGTTTGATGGATTTCTGACATTTTGTCACGTTCACAAACGTTCCTATATCGGTTGAATTTTTTTTATTTGATACGGACAACAAGATTCAATATAGTTTTAAGAAAGAGCTTGTCACTAGTTGGGTTTAGTAATCTCCGAGATATGTCAATGTGTATCTGTATCGGTTAATATTTGTCTTTTAAAAGTCATTGCACAGGAGTGGCTGGGCTTGTCTCATGTGACGACTTTAAGTCAACAGTAACTATTTATGATCAAGGCTAGGTGTCTTCCCCTATTCAGTTATTGCATATAAACTGATAATCCAAAGTTCTTCTATCGCTGTTGGATGACTAACATTTCTTTAGACACTAAATTATATCATAAGTAGTTCAGTACAGCGAAAGCACTCCATATTGACAAGTGGGTTTGACAACTTATCTACAAAGTGCTTCTTGGGTTTAATGCCCTTTTAAACAGGCGCTTGCTAAAATCCTGGCTTTCTAGTGTTTCATTTTAAGTCAGTTCATTATATGTGACCCTCTGACCTACAAATCATAGCATGAGGAAAATGTCTCGGTGTTTGCAAGAACTTCCTGTAGACTTTAAACACTACTGGTTAATGTTTGACCCTTACTCAAACACCAGGCTTCCTGGGAGGCAAATATGGAATTGTGTGTAAGCAATAATGGTGTAGAATGATTTATTTATATGTTTCTCCAGATGTTCATTGACATTCATTAACACGTGATTGCTACTGCAAATCAGTATATAGTAATAATGTTTAATCTTCACTGATAGCACGATTTAATGGCTGTAACTGATGAGATGATTGTTGCTACTCAGCGTGACGTTAAATATATGGTGCCGGCTCATGATTTTGGGATTGTTGGTGTGATGTCAGCAGTGTGTAATCGCTGTGGAAAGGAAAAGCTCAGTGAAGAAAATGGTTTGTAAAGTAGAAGAAGAAGTAAGACCGACTCCAAATTTTCATTCATAAAAGCATGCTACACTCTGATCAGTCGAGCTGAATTAATGGAGGTTATATGTAGGCGTGTCTTAGTCTATGGCTGGCTTAGTTTCAACTGTAATCTGGTTAGGATGTGATATATCTAGTCCTGTTACGTTTTCTGGTATAGTCAGTTTCCACGGCCTGGGGTGAAACTGTGAATTTGCAGCGTGCCTCGACACTTCTAGAGCAACACTGCTGGGACGCAGTCATTGCTGAGCCAGCATGTGGTCCTGTGTCTGGATTT